GCAATCCCAACACTTTGGGAGGCCGAGGTGGGTGGATTGCCTGAGCTCAGGAGTTCGAGACCTCCCTGGGCAACATGGCAAAACCCTGTCTCTACAAAAAATACAAAAAGTAGCTGGGCATAGTGGCGGGCGCCTGTAGTTCCAGCTACTTGGGAGGCTGAGGCAGAAGAATCGCTTGAACCCGGGAGGCAGAGGTTGCAGTGAGCCCAGGTCGCCCCACTGCACTCTAACCTGGGTGACAGAGCAAGACTCTGTCTTCAAAAGGAAAAAGAAAAGAAAAGAAAAAAAAACAAGCAAAAGATAACCAAAACCACAATCGCTTCTCCCTCAGCGGCCCTCAGGAGTCCACGTCAGCAAGTCTTTTACCTGACTTTGGTCACTTCCTTTTCCCAGTCCCCACAATGGCTGTGTACCCTTTGGCCATTCTCTGAATGTCAGCTCCCAGGCTCACCTCACATCTGAGAACCTTCAACCCATCAGGTGTGAACTCCCTCTGTTTCCCACCTCCAGGCTAACAAACCTCTCTGTGCTCCCTCAGTCCTCACCCCCACCCTCAGCCTGGAGCTGTGCTTTCAGCTTCATAGTAACCTCCACCCGGGCTTTCCCCTCTACTACTCCATGATCAGGACCTTGCCCCATCAGCTTTTTCCTGTCTTGATTTCAAGTCTCTCTTCTTCCTGCCACCTATTCACCCACTGAAGTTGTTCCTGGAATCTCAAACTCAGCATGTCCCCTGACTGCCTCTTATTGCCTTTCCTCTTTGTGAGTAGCACTGCCACCCATCCTGCCTCACCCAATCCCAAAACCTGGGATCATCCAAGACGCCTTCCTCCCTCAGAGCCATTCATTCGGGAGTCACAGTGTGCACATTCTGCCGCCCTACTCAGCATTCCCAGCCTGAAAGCCCCTGGCAGAGTTCAGACCTTTGCCTGGCAGCTGCCACAGCCCTTCCTGGTTGCTTCCTGGCAATTTTACTTCCATTTCCTGCCTCAGCCTCTCGAGTAGCTGGGATTACAGGCATGCGCCACCACTACTTCCTTCCTGGTTGCTTCCCAGCAATTCTACTTCTATTTCCCCTATGGCTGTGGGATATTTTATCAAGAGGATGAAAAAGGAAAAAGGACAAAAGTGAAATTTTGTCCAAAGATCTGAAATTGCTTAACAGGGCCAGGGAGCAGGGAGGCTAGAACGGCCCTCCATTTGACAATCTCCAAGGCCATCTGTGAGAGACTATGGATACAGCAAGCCCAGGACATGGGGTCTTTGCTGAACTTTCTGGTTATGAGACAGGACCCCCTTCAGGGATAAAGGGCCAGGAAGGACGATAACAAGTCACACACAAGGAATGACCAATTACAGTTGTGGATGGTCCTGATACTAGCTAGAGAGAAGCCTAAACATTTTAGCTAATATACTTTCTTTTTTTTTTGGGGGGGGACAGAGTCTTTGCTCTGTCGCCCAGGCTGGAGTGTAGTGGCACCATCTCAGGTCACTGCAAACTCTACCTCTCGGGTTCAAGCGATCCTCCTGTCTTTCAGCTTCATAGAAACCTCCACCTCCCTGTGCCTGCCTCTCCACGTTGCAGCCAGAGTGAGCATTCTTTCACAGCAGAACTGAGCCGGCCACCACCTAGCTTAAGCCCTGAGGGGCTCCCCATCAGCTACAGAAAGGTCACACTCCTCAACAGCAGATGAGGCCTTCCCATGGGGAACCTCTGTGGAACCTCATCACATTCATTCCTTACCTTGCCCTGGTCATCACACCTCTGTGCCCTTGACCATCCTCATCCCGAGGCAGCTCCCCATCACTATGTGCAGCTGAGCCTTGCTTCAGTGCCCCTGCTCACCCTGCTCCCTTTTCTGGAATGCCGGGCCTCCATGTTTGCCAGTGCCCACCTGCCCATTTTTGAAGATGCAGCTTGGGCACCACCTCCTCCAGGAGGCCTCCTCCCTGCACTTCTCTGGCAGACCTGACCCTGC